CAGGCTCCAGGACTTAACATAAGGGTGGACACCACAGGAGGAAAATACATCCACGAATCTCACACCCTTCCCTGGAGGGCAGCAGACAGGAGAGGCCCATGGAAAACACCAATCCCATGATCAGAGGTGGCCATTGCAGCTCCAGATTCATCAGGAACTGCACTGCCAGGACAAGGAGGAGTGGATTTGAAATGACAGAGCTCAGGGCTGGAAAGGATATTGGGAAGAAATCCTTCCCTGTGAGGGTGCTAAGGCCCTGGCACAGGTTGCCCAGAGGAGCTGTGGATGCCACATTCCTGGAAGTGTCCAAGGCCAGGCTCGATGGGATAGTGGAAGGTGTCCCTGCCCATGGCCCTGACCTGCCCCAAGCAGCCACAAGCCCATCATCCATCATATCCCACCAATTCCTGCTGCTACAGCCACCACTCCTCACTGTCTGTCACCTTGCTGCCTCCATGGCACTGCGGGTCCAAGCACAGCCTACAGCTCACTCCTTTCTCCCTTTCAGCTTTCTCTGCCTCCCCAATTGCTCCTTCGGGGTGGGCAGGGAGCTCTCTAGCACTGACTAAACGTGGGTGAAGGTTGGGAGAGCTGCGGCACCCAATTAAAGACAGCTTTAATGACAAGGATGTGTTACCACCAAGCGGGTTCAGCCCCAGCTCACGGCCACTCTGCCTGACTCACCCAGGAACAGCTCCTGCCACTCGGCCTCTGCAGGACCGAAGCTCAACTTCCCACTCCTAGGTTTCCCTGCCCTTGGGAGTGAGAGGAAATGTGGGGCTAATGCTCTGCCCGGCAGGGAATGTGCAGGTTTCACCTGGCAGCAGCTCCTGAGAAGAGCAAATTGAACAGTAACACCAGGGAAAGCTGTTTTCCATAGCAGGAACAGAGTTCCCTGGAGAGCAGCCGTTTCCCAGCCCCGCTCTGCCTGTTTGGGGAAGAGCCCAACACCCCACAGAGCCGAGCCCAACAGCAATTCCAGGGATGGGCTATCGGAAGTCCAGGCCTGACATCACGGCTGATTGCTTTAGCAGGAGCGATCTGCTCCCAGAGCACCCAGCCCTTTGAACGCTCCGCCATGGAGGCACGGCCACACCTCGGGCTCAAACAGACGCTGCCAGGCAGAAGGAGCTGTTCCCTGATAATTCCTCCTCCAGAGATCCCCACCCTGCCCTCACAGGGTGCCATGGGCATGCGCTTTGTGGCCCTGCTCTGCCCCAGCCCTCCCAGCCAGAGATCCAGGCACTCCAGCCCTTCCACTGGGGGATTTCTGTGGAGCTGTGCGTGCCAGAGCCAGCTCCCCATGGAATCAGGTACCCATGGGACAGGCCCTCTCAGGAGGGGGAGAGCTCCAGTGCTGTCATTAGGGACATCCCAGTGAGAAGCGATGCAAATGCATCCCTGCTCCAGCTGCCTGTGCCCAGAATAACTCCACAACTCATCAAACAGGAGCCCATTCCAGCTCCCAGAGCCACCACACTACTCCCGGGAATGCCTTCCTGATCCCCCTGGCATGCTGAGACCCTGCAGGACTCCCCAGCCCCAGCCCTGCTGCAGAGGCCCGGGCAGAAGCTGTGAAAATGCAGCACAGTGTGCCAGGATCTCTGCTCTGCAATCCTTAAGGGGTCCAGGAAAAACATAAGGAAAATCCACCTCAAATTCCCACAGATTACAGTAATTCAGGTCACAATTCTCCCAAACACACATATTCTTTCCCAGCCATCCCCTTTCCCAGCCCTACAACCTGCCCACTTCTGGTTAACCAACCCTTCCTTTCCCTCTACCTTTGCCCCAAATTCTCTGTCTCACTGGCCACTTTGTCCCTATCCACAAAGCCCACTCAGACTTCCCTGCTCCAAAGAGCCCCCAACTCATCTTGCTTACCTGTGGCCTACATGGGCTTTGCTCTTGCCTTCCATTCCTTTCCCTCTGCCAATTCCAGCCCAGCAACTCCTCCTCTCCCACTGCTCCTCCAGACCTGCCCTGCTCCTTCCTCCTCCAGCGCCTGTGTCACTGCTCACTCCCCCTCCCCTCACCCTCAGAAATTCCACCTGGTTTTCCCATCCCAGCACCTCCCTTTCAGAGCACTTTCCCAGTTCCACTCTGCTCAGCCACCTCCTGAACAGACATCTCCGCTCTCCAGGGTTTCCCTCCACTCTTACAGGCGAGCTGCTCCTGTTTGCTTCATCTCCATTTCTGGGGATTTCTTTTAATTCCAAATCCCCTCCCTCGAGATACGTGCAAGCACGACTGCTGCCACCTTCCATTTCTCTGAGCCTGCGTCTCCTTTTCTTGGTTCAAGGCCCTGTAAAGCCTCACAGATTTCCTCCTTTTCCTCCCCTCCCAGCCCTGTGCTCCTCCTTCCCTGCTTCCCACCCCACTCTGCTCATCTGCTCCAGCCCCTCTCCAGCCTTCCCACATGTAGACAGGTGCTCCATGCTTTTTCCTTTCTGGAGCATGAGGCGCTCCCCACCTCTGCTGTGATGGGGACACGTGTGACACAACTCCCGACATTCCCTCCACCCTCACTTCAGCTCCTCACTCTGCTCCCGTCCAGGAAGGAGGAAATGCATTAACCACCATGGCTCCTGCCACCCCGGGATCCACGGCACAGGCAGGACAGAGTTCCCTCCCGGTTACCGGTTCCCAAACCTGTGCCGCCCACCGGGATCCGCAGCTCCCGACCCGCCCCGGTCCAGCCGAGTTCCCATGGCACAGGGCAAACACACAAACAATTCCTTCCACGTGAGGCAACTCCCAGACAGGGCAGATCCCAGCTGCACGGAGACGGGATGTGCTTCACCTGTTCCCACTTTGTTTTGATCGGCTGCACCCCAAAATTCCACAGAGCCATTCCAGAGCTTGCTGCCTGGCACCATGAGTGAGGGGCATCCAGGGAACAAGGACCTCCCACCTCCCTCTGCAGCTCCCTCTGCTCACCCTGTCCCTGTACAACCAGCTAACACTTCACACTCCAAAATCCATCAGAGGAAGTGCAAATTTTCCCAAACCTGGCACTGTGGCCAGAGCAATGCCGGCATGAGATCCCCACTGTCCAAACCAGAGCACCTGCCCCAACAGAGCAGTCTGGAGACACTTCCCTGCTCTTAATTCCAAAGGAGGATGTACAGCAATGCATGTTTGGCCAGCCCTCGGCTCCAGGGGCATCCTGCACACCCACCTTTCTCCCAGGTGGATGTACAGAAGGGTCAACACAGAACCTGGAGAAATATTCCACTGCAGACAGCCAGAAGGCTGGAATCACTCCACGCTTATCTCCTGCCCAGGGCTTACACTGCTCCCATCCTCCTTCCCCAGCCCATCCCGCTGGTTTACAGGGGATTAGCCCCATTTTATGGGCAAAGCAGGAGGAACAATGCCTCATCCATTGAGGCCGCATCCCAACGGGCCCCACAGCGAGCATGGACAGCACCAGCCTCTTGTCACTGTGTTAGGAGACACCAGGCACAGCGACAGGTGGGAATGTCCCCAAATAGGCCCCTCACAGGGGAGTTCAAGGTCTTCCCTTGGACCCACCCAACCACCACCCTCTCCAATGCCAGATGGGGCTCCTGGCCTCGGGAACCAACGGGAATAAATGCCTGCTAAAGCAGCACCTGGGCCCGGCGGAAGGATGGTGGTAACTGGATTAAGCTCAGAAAGAGGTTCCAAGATAACTCCAACTTTGATAGAGACAAGGCTCTGGTTGTACTTCAACACGCCCCAAAAAACCCGAGCAGCCCCTAGTGCAGAGAATCCCTGAAGCCCAAATGCAGCCGAGTGCCGGGGCGGGAGCCGGCAGATCCGGGGGAACCACTTCCCAGAGCCACGGGGAGCACAGGGCAGCCGATCCCCTCCCCAGTCGGCGCGGTGAGGGGGGCGGAACCCCGAGGCGGGGGACCGGCGCAGCTCAGGTGTTTGGGAATCTGGGAATGCTGAGGAGAGGCCAGGCTGGACCGCTGCCAGCGCCGCCCAAAGCCGGAGCAGGGCCGGTACCGGTGCCGTGAGGAGAGGCCGTGCTGTAAGCAAGGGCTCCCCTGGGCACAGAGGCCGAGCTCCGGTGCCCCAAAGCAGCGCAGGGCGGCGTTCCCGGGGGCACCGGGGCCAGGCCGGGTGCGGGACAGCGCACGAGTCCCCGGGCGCTCCCTGCGGCCGCTCCCCGGCCCCGGGCGGTTTCCAGGCGGGGAACGAGCCCCGCTCCGGTGCGCTCGCCCCGCACCGTGCGCAGGGGCGGCCCCGGCCCGCGGGCCACCGCTCCCCTCCAGCCCCGCACCGCCGCTCCCTCAGCCCCCGGCCCGGCTCCCCGCGGCACAGGAGGAGGTCCTGGTGCCGGCGGGGCCGCGGGCACGGCGGCCGGGGCAGGAGGAAGCGGCGCTCCCGTGCAGAGGCACCGCGACCAGCGGGCAGGCGGCCGTGCGGAACGGCGGAGCGGGGCCGCGGCCAGAGGGGCGGGCCGGGCAGGGGTCGGTGCCCGCTGGGGCGGCGGGCAGGAGGGTCCGCGGGCGGCGAGGGGGCACGGCCCGAGCCGCGCGCGGGGGGAGCCGCGGGGGCAGCGGCGGGGCGGGGGCGGTGGCGGCCGGGCCCCGGCGAGGGGGCGAGGGAGCGGCGGGCCGGGGAGGCGGCTGCGGTGCCGGAGCGGCGGGGTCCCGGCGGGGCGGTGCGGCCCACGTGACTCACCGGCAGGAGGCCGCGCGCGGCGGCGGCTCCGGGCTCGGACGGCGGCGGCTGCGGCGGGCGGGACGTCACGCGCGCGCGTGCGCACCGCGCCCCCCGCGCGCCTCCATTGGCCGCCTCCCGCCGGCCCACCCCGGCCGCGGCGGCGCGCATGCGCAGGGCAGCGGAGCGGGCGTGCGCGCTCACGCCGCGGCGGGCGGGGACACGGCCGGGGCCTCGGCGCGTGCGCGGGACGTACCACAGCGGGGACCGGAGGGGGGAGCCCGGGGCCGGCAATCCCCGCTCCCCTCGGGACCCCCCTCCCTCAGCAGACGCTCACCAGCGGCAAAGGCTTCCAGATTTAATAGCAAACTGTACAAAAAGTATAAAACCAAAGGGCGGGTGCTGCACCAGGGTCACACCGCGCTGGGGGGACAAGGAGGGGGCACAGGGAGGAGGAGGGGGGCACATCCCGTCCCTCCCCTACTTGAGGTCCATGAAGCGAATGTCCATGATGAGCAGGAAGTTCTTGGGGAGGGGGCGCGGAGCCGGGGACAGCACGGTGAAGACCTGGCGCTCCAGGTCCACGCCGGTGACCACGATGAAGCCGGCCACGCTGGTCTCAGAAATATTGTCGTCGGGGCTGTCAGCGGTGCTGACGCTCAGCAGGTGGTGCACCATGTCCCGCCCCGGTGTCACCGGCACCAGCTTCAGCTGGTTGTCCTCCTGCGACATTCCCAGCGGCAGGCATGAGTCCGGGATGGTGGGTGCGCCCACCTTGTAGATCTTGACGTCGGAGAACTTGACGTCGAAGGCGTGCGGGTAGAAGCAGCCGCGGAAGCCATAGAAGTACTCGCGGATGCGCTCGTCCCGGCATTCCCGGCGGAAGTCCTTGGAGCGCTCCACCACGCCGCCGGACTTGGGCAGCAGCACGGTGCGCACAAAGTGGGGCAGGTCCCGCTTGAGCTCGTTGTAGAGGCGCTCCTGGTCCAGCACCACCACCACGTCCACCTCGAAGGCGGAGGCGGCGTGCACCAGCGCCTGGTAGCCCGAGCTCTTGACCCAGCCGCAGGTGTTGATGACGCAGCCGCTCACCGACGCCCGCCGGTTCACCTCGCAGCGCTGGTTGAAGACATCGGCCAGGCACGACGTGATCTGTGGGAGGAGGGGTCACACAGAGGCACCCGTGTCCCCATGCTGTCCCCAGCTCCATCAGGACCCTCAAGGCCTCGATTCCACACGGCCACCCAGAGCAAAATGGTGGAATTGTAGGATGGTCAGGCTTGGAATGGATCTTAAAGCCCATCCTGGCCTTGGGCACTTCCAGGGGTGGGGCAGCCACAGCCTCTCTAAGCAACCCTGAAGGGCCTCACCGTAAAATAATTTCTTCCCATATCCAGCCTAAATGTCTCCTCTCGCTGTGAACCCATTCCACCCCATCCTATCACTCCAGATCCTAACAAGAATCCCTCTACGGCTTCCCTGCAGGCTCTCAGGATGGAAAGGCTGCTCTGAGGTCAGGGCACAAAATGTCCTCCTCCAGGCTGAACTGCCCCACCTCTCCCAGCTCGTCTCCACAGAGGAGGTGCTTCAGCTCCCTTCATCCCCTTCATGTCCTCCTCTGGACTCCCTCCCTACCCTGACCTGACAGCAGGGAAGGGGTGGCTGGCCGTGCACGAGGCTGTTTTTAAAAGGCATTACACTGTCCCCAAACAGCACCCCGGGGATTCAGACATCCCGCAGCGCGGGGAAACCCCGGGGAGCTCCGGGGCCATGCCCAAGCCGGGCCGAGCCCGCCGTGCTCACCTTGTTGTAGAGCTTGATGTTGGTGCCGGGCGTGGTGGAGCCGAAGTGGTAGACGAGCGGGGCCTGCAGGGAGAAGCCCTCCTCCACATCGGCCGGCCGCTCGATGTACAGCGCGCCCATGGTGCCGGGGATGGACACCGAGCCCTGCCCCACGTCCAGCTCCACGAAGGTGGGCCGGCGGCCCAGGCGCACGGCGTAGTTAAGCAGCAGGCGGCACACGGTGGTCTTGCCCACGTCGGTGGGCCCCACCACCATGACGCGGGGCCCGCGCTCGTCCTCCCGCTCGGCCTGGCGCCGCATCTGCTCCAGCGCCGTGTGCGTGTTCAGGTACAGCAGCATCGGCGTGTCCCGCGACACGTAGGCCACCTCGGTGCGGCCGCTGAGCTGCACGGTGCAGCCGTGCCACGTGAACACGGCCACCTTGGCGCCCGCGTCGAACGTGAACTTCTTGTTGCGGGTGAGCTCGGTGCCGAACACCTCGGCCATGCCGGTCAGCAGCTCCAGCTGCACCGTCTGCCCCGCCTCCACCTCGAACCGCAGCTCTGTCTCCCGCTCCAGCTCGAACTTGGCCACCTGCTTCTTCTCCTCGCCGCCATCGTCCGCCATGACGGCGACGCGGGGGCCCCGGGCCCGGTGTCCCCCGGCCGCCGCCGCCGCGACGGAAGTGACGTCAGTGCGGCGCGCCGGGAGCGCGGGCGGCCTGGATCACGTGGGGCGCGGGGGTCACGTGGGGAAGGGGCACGTCCTGCCCGGTTCTGCGGCTCGTTTGCATCTCATTTGCATATCGCCGGCGGTCCCTCCTCGAGTTTGCATCTCATTACAGCGGGGCTCCCCCTCTCCCCCCCTCATCCCTCGGGATGAGTCCCGGGATCGTTTGCATGACGTTCGCACGACATTTACGCCCGCACCCCTCCCCCCCTTCCCATTTACATCTCACGGCGGGGATACGGGGACGTGAGGGGACACACGGAGGGACACTGGGGACGAGGCAGAACGCGGGGACGCGGGGGACAGGAGGCAGCGGGAGGCGCCCCGGCGGCCGCGGCCGGGCTGACGTCGGAGGGTCGGGCGGTGCCGTCACGGCGGCGGTGGCGGCGGTGACGTCACGGCCGCGGGATGAGTCACGGTGCCGTGATGCGGCTCCCGGGCACGCAGGGCCCCCCCGCGCCCGCCCCGGGGACAGCGGCAGCGGCGGCAGCGGGGAGAGCGGCGGGTGGTGAGCGGCCCCGGCCCCCGGGAAGCCACGGAACCCGGTACCCCCCATCGTGTCCCCCCGAGACTCCCAGAGCCCCGCCGAGCCCCCCGTCGTGTCCCCCAGCGCTCTTGACATTGCCCCCCCGCCACGGCGATATCCCCGTCCTTCTTCCCCGTACCGCAAATATCTCCCCCAGCACCTTCCCGCCTCCCGGGGACCCTCGCCATCCCTCCCGGGACCCACAACCGACCCCTTGGGACCCTCATCGACCCCCGTGAGGACCCCCATCATGTCCCGTCGGGCCTCCCATCATCCATTCTCCCCGCTCGGTACCCGCGGTTTTCCCCCTCAGGACCCCCATCATCTCCCCGGGGACCCCCACGCTTCGAGAAGAGACCCCAGACCCAGCTTGGGACGCCCCCCCTCCCGCAGTCCCTCGGGTCCCCCGTGCCCCCCCGGCTCTCCCGGTGTCCCCGCTGCCCCGGTGTCACTCCGCTCTCAGCCGGCTCGGTTCGTGCAGGGTCCCCTCTCACCGCCCCCCTTCCTCCTTCGCAGGCCGCCCCCCTTTTCCACCTCCTTCTGCCGGGGGGCCCCGGCGGAGCCCCCGGAGCCCGGGCGGGCGGGACGGCGGCTCTGGGCGCGCTGCTGCGCTGCTTCCCCTGCGAGCGGCTGTGCGGGGGCTGCGCGGTGCCCCCCGGGGCTCTGCCCCCGGCCATGCCGCCCCCGGCCCGCCGCCGCCTGCCCGCCGCCTCCCGCCTGCCGCCGCGCACCTTCCGCAGTTACCTGCCCCGCTCGCACCGCACCTACAGCTGCGTCCACTGCCGGGCGCACCTGGCCCGCCACGAGGAGCTCATCTCCAAGGTGCCACCCTGGGACAGCGGGTGTCCCTTCGCCGCCTCCCCAGAATGATGAGTTTCCCCCACGGTGCCCCAAGTGTCCCCCTGTGGTGTCCCCAGGGTGGTGGGTGCTCCCCCCGCGGTGTCCGATCCACGGCGCGGTGTCCTGCCGGGGGCGGGTGACCTGTATGGTGCTCCCACGGAGGTGGCCGTCCCCCGCTCCGTGTCCCCGAGCGGGCAGGTGTCCCCCCGCGGTGTCCCCAGGCCGGTGTGCCGCACGGGATAGGAGCAGGACATGGAGGGAGGGGTGCCGGAGGACGTGGGGGACCCGCCGGTGACACTCGCCGTGTCCCCACAGTCCTTCCAGGGCAGCCACGGCCGTGCCTACCTGTTCAACTCCGTGTGAGTAGCGGGGGCAGCGGGGCTGGCAGTGGGGAGGGGGAGCCCGGGGGTCCCCCCGGTGCCGAGCCTGTGGGACCCGCCCCTCTCGGTGCAGGGTGAACGTGGGCTGCGGCCCGGCCGAGCAGCGCCTGCTGCTGACGGGGCTGCACTCGGTGGCCGACATCTTCTGCCAGAGCTGCAAGACCACCCTGGGCTGGAAATACGTGAGTGCCCCCCAGCTGGGACCCCCACCTGCTGCGGGCACTGCCCGGGGGCCCCAACCCCAGTCTGGGCACACCAACCTCCCCCCTGGGCACATCTTGGCACCCCAAACCTTTGCTGTGGACACCCCCAAGGCCTGGGGAAGGCAGCGCCCAGGGGGGCACGGGGGGCTGACTCTGTGTCCCCCCCCAGGAACAGGCGTTCGAGAGCAGCCAGAAGTACAAGGAGGGGAAGTTCATCATCGAGATGTCGCACATGGTGAAGGAGAACGGCTGGGACTGACGCGGGGGCACAGCTGGGACTGGGGGGCACCTGGGGGCACGCTGGGTGACCCCTTCCTTGGCACCTTCACTGTGCCCCCCGGTGCCCCCTGGCTGGCACCAGCCGCGGGGGTTGCGGGGCTTTTCTAGGGCAATAAAGGCTTTTTTTTAGGAAGCTGCTGGTTGTCACCTGCCCCCCCCCCCCCCCATGCTGCCACCACCCCAGCTCACCCTGGCACACAGCCTGGCACAGAGAAGGGGGTTCCTGGTGGCCCCAGCCTGTCTCTTCCCCTCCTCACACGCAGGAGGCAGGACGTGGTTGGTGCATTTATTGGGACACCGAGCTGGCAGGGAAACTGAGGCACGGGAGGAGCAGGGACCCCCTGGTGCCGTTGGGGAGTGTGAAGGGAGAGGGAGAGGGAGAGGGAGAGGGAGAGGGAGAGGGAGAGGGAGAGGGAGAGGGAGAGGGAGAGGGAGAGGGAGAGGGAGAGGGAGAGGGAGAGGAGAGAGGAAGGGAGGGAGGAGGGAGATGGAGGGATGAGAAAGAGAGGAGAGGGACAGGAGCAGAGTCAGGGCTAAGGGTCGCTGAGACGGCCCATGAAGACGGGGAATTCGCCGGTGTTGTGCCAGAGGACGAAGAGGAAGGGGCGCAGGGCCTCCAGCACCAGGGCCGAGCGCGCCACCGAGGTGGCCATGGCCGCCGCCGCCTCCACACCGGCCTCATCCAGTGCCAGCACCGCCCGGTGCCGCGCCGTGTCCACCGCGGCCGGGCCCCGCGCCAGCCCGCACAGCTCCGCGTCCAGGAACAGCCCGAAGTCTGCGGCACACGGCCTCAGCGCCACCCCCGCGGAACACGGGGACAGCGGGGGACACCAGGGACGGAGGGGACAGCAAGGGCATCCAGAGAAAACCAGAGGGACAGGGACATGGAGACGCGGGGACCCGAGGGACGGTGGGGATGAGGAGACACCGGGACACAACGGGGACACTGGGTGGCGCCAGGGGACGCGCAGGGATATGGGCAGCACCGGGGAAACGGGGGATATTCGGGCCGCTGGGGATAATTTGGGGATACCGGGATGTAAGGTGACATTAGGGGCGCTGGGGAGATGGGGGACACCAGGGACACGGGAGTGTGAGGGGGCTCAGGGGAAACAAAGGTAAGGGGATACCGGGGACATTGTGGTCTTTGGGACCCTCGGGAAAATGACCCCCAGGGGAGAGCCAGTGACATCCTGCAGGGAGTAACGTCCCCGCACAGGGAGCGATGTGGCCCCACAGCCCAGCCAGCCCCTGAGGTGCCATCAGAGGCGTCCTTACCCATGTCGTGGACCAGAGTCACCACGTCCAGGGCGAGGTCGAGGCGCAGGCGGGGCAGGGACAGCGCGGTGGCCCGGGGTGGGGTGCGGGCCGCCCGCCGCAGCAGCGCCAGGAAGGTCGCAGGGTCCAGCGCCCGCTCCAGGGTCTCCAGAGGCTCCAGAGGCCCCCTCGGCATCAGCACCACGAGGCTCAGCCCCCCATTCAGCTCCAGCCGCCCCACCTGTGGGGCAGAACCCACCTAAAGCCACCGCGGGGACCCCATGGACCGGCACCCCCACGGAGCCACCAGAGAGGTGCCAGCCTGCCATCCCTCAAAACCCCTGGGGAGCGAGGTCACAGCCTGTGCCCCTTTCAGTGCCAGGGGAGTGACATCAGCCTGGCATCCTCCCCGAGTGCCGCAGGAGTTATATCACAGCCTGACATTCCTCCTTAGTGCCGCTGGAGCGACATCATGCCATTATCCCCCCAGCAGTGACCCCCCAGACCCCCAGCACTGGTCGAGGGCTACCTGGACCTGCAGGCGGGGGTCAGTGAAGGAGGCCACCGGGTACTTGGCGCTGGTCATGGTGGGCACCTTGCGGGGTCGGTGGCCGGGCCGCAGGAAGGGCAGCATCACCGTCTTCTTGCGGTCCAGCGGCGTCCGCCAGGCGGCTGTGGGGACACGGCACCGCGGCTGGGCCCGGGGGCACCGGGGGCGGCGGCACCGGGGCGGCCTCAACCCCGCGCCCCATGCCCGGGGGTGCCCGGGGGGTGGCGAGTGGCGGGTGGCGGGGCCGTACCGCGCAGGTGGACGGCGCTGAGCAGCAGCAGGCTGGGCTCGGGGGGCAGCGCGGACAGCAGCGAGGGCAGCAGCCCCTTGCTGGCCTCCCGCACCCAGGCGTTGATGCGCTGCAGGTCCAGGCTCTCGTTGCCGCTCAGGGCGTACGGGCGGGCGCCATAGAAGCGCAGGGAGTCGTTGAGGAAGCGAGGCCGGAGCTGCAGCTCTGTGGGGCAGCACGGTGGTCCCGGTGTCACTCCGGGTGCCCAGCGGGCAGCGGCGCCCCATCGGCACCCGGTGCCCGCCTCACCTGGGTGGTGGAAGATCTGGGCGGCTGAGAAGAGGCCGGGCACGCTGGCCAGCTGCTGCAGGGCACCGTGCACGCAGCGCAGCCCCTGCGGGTACGCCAGGAGGGCGGCCAGACGCTCCTGGGTTTCTCCGCGGGCGCCTGCGGGCACAGGGGAAGCTCAGCGAGGTGTCCCGGCTGGGATAGCGGTGACACGGCGGTGCCATGCCCGCGGGCGGCCCCTCACCCAGCAGCAGGTGGGAGAGCCCCACGGCGACGTTGATGGGGGAGAAGAGCAGGTTGGCGTCGGGCTGGGCAGCCTCTGCCATGCGCTGGTAGAAGCGGAGGGCAAAGGTGACCAGAGCCTCGGCCACGGCGGCCCGCTGCTCCCCCGTGGGCTCCCCGCAGGTGTCGGTCGGCTCCTCATCCCCAGGGCACGGTGGGACGCTGGTGCCAGGCGTGGGCACTGCCGTGGTCCCGTTGGCTGAGGTGTCCAGCTCCTCCGGTGCCCCCTCTGGCACTGTGGGGCTGGGGACATCTGTGGTACCCCAGCCAGGCAGCCCCTCGGGGGGAGCGCTGGGGGTGGGCACAGGCAGCACGGTGGCCCCCACGTCCTGCGAGGGAGCTGGGGTATGAGCGGGGGGCACAGGGGGCACAGGCGGTGTTGGTGACTCTCTGAGCAGTGTCATCCAGCTGGGAGAGGCCTCCAGAGTGAGCACCTGGGCACAGGGATTTGTGTGAGGGAGGCATGGGGCACCCGGCTGGGGGACTGAGATGAGGCTGTATAGAGGGGTGTTGGGCACAGGGAGACCCTGTCCCTGGGTCACACTTACCGGGGTGACAGTGACCGTGGCTGTGGCTACTAGCCACGCCAGAGGCAGCCAGAGTGTCTTGGGGGGCATGCTGGTGGGAAGGCACAGGTCAAGGGTAGGAGAGACACCCAGCATCCCCCAACCCGGCACCCCACACCCCCACTCCCTGCACCACCCATACCCCCACCCCGTGCAGCCCAACCCCGGGGTGCCCCCGCTCTGACCCCCCCTCCGGGGCACCGGCTGTGGGGGGTGGGAGGAGGCAGCACCCCGGGCCCACCTGGGTGCCCAGCGGGTCGGTTCCTGCGTGTCCAGCGGGCGCCGGGAGATCTGGCCGGGTCAGACCCTGCCTGGTTAAAAATTAAGGAGGTTCCCGTAAATCAGCCGGGACGCGGCCAGTGATGCGGGGGCGGGCAGGGGGGTGTGGAAGCAGCCGGGATGCGACCCCGCGTCCCGTTTTGCTCCCGCCAGCCACCGGTCTGCGCGGGGTTCCGGCTGTCTGTCACCCACCGCTCCCGGGACCCCCGCGGTGACGGGGGTCGCCGGCTGCCTCCGGCCCCTCTGTCCCCCCCCACTCGTGTCGGGGGCGCGGCCGCAGAACCTCGTCCCGCCCGCCCAGGGGCGGGACCCCACGGAGCCCATCCCCGTGGCACCGGGCACTGATGACCATGGCCGGGCGGATCGCCAAGGTGGGCACCGGGGGCACCGGGACGGGACCAGGACTCCGGCGCCGCTGCGGTACCGGCGCGGGGGTCCTGGTGTCCGCACCGGAGCGGCGGCCGGGGGGAGCCGAGCTCGCCGTGCGGGGATCCCGGTACCGGGGTGTGAAAGGGGGTTCTGTGGAGGGTTAATGCTAGTGCGGGGATACCGGTACCGGGGTGCGAGAGAGGCGGTGCTGGGGGATGTGAGTGCCCGGAGATGGGGTCCCGGTACCGGAGAGAGGCAGTGCTGGGGATGTCAGTGCCTGCGCGAGGGTCCCGGTGGCGGGGTGCGAGAGAAGCAGTACCGGGGTGTCGGTCTCCGGTGCGGGGGTGACAAATCCCCCTGCACGTTTCAGTTTCGTTTCCCCGGCGGGGCGGCGGGGGTGTGTCCAGGGTGCCGGTAATTAAACCCTGCCTATTAAGGCGCGGCCTACGGGCGGCCCCGCCCAGAGGGACGTCCCGGGTGGGGTGTTAACCTATGGAGGCGTCTCTCGGGTCACACCTCCGCCCATACCTGTCCCACCCCTTCCCGCAGGAGCTGGAGGAGGCGCGGCGCTGGGAGGGGGCCCGCGACGTGCGGCCGCTGGACGGGAACGTGCGGCGCTGGGGGGGGCTCCTGCTGCCCGTGCGTGGGGAGAGGGCACGGGGGGACGTGGGGGCACGGGGGGCTGCGGGGAGTCCTGGGGAGTGGGGGCCGAGGGGCTCCCCTGCGCATGGGGGACATGCGGGCTTGAGGAAGGATGTGCCCCTGGGGGCATGGGAGGGATTGGGGGTGACCCTTGGGACGGGCCTGTCTAAGTGAGTGAGGGTCCCCCTCAGGGCAGAATTGGGGAGGGGTCCTCTGAGGACACTGGGGGGAGGTTCCCCTCCTCAGGGGCTCGGGCTGGCACGGGGAGTCTCTGCGGTGGGCACTGGGTATTAGGGCTGGACAGAGGGGGCTGAGGCGCCCCCATATCCCGGCAGAACAACCCCCCATACAACACGGGCGCCTTCCGCTTCGAGCTGACCTTCTCTCCCAACCACCCGCTGGAGCCCCCCTGTGCCACCCTCCGCACCCCCATCTACCACCCCAGCGTGGACCTGAAGGGCCGCGTCTGCCAGCCCCTCACCAGCGAGGCGCACTGGGAGCCCACCACCCGCGCCATCCAAGGTGGGCACGGCGGGGACAGGGGCACAGGGCAGGGGGATGCGTGCCCCTCTGACCCCCCTGCCCCTGCAGTGCTCCAGGACCTGCTGCTGCAGCTGGACAGCCCCGACCCCCAGCGGGTGCTGCGGCCGAAGGTGGCCAAGGAGCTGCAGGAGCGCCCCGAGGAGTTCCGGCGCCGGGCAGAGGAACACACCCGGCTCCACGCCGAGCCGCGCCCCGACCCCCACGCATAAAGCAATAAATTCCCTCCATCACCTGCTCTGGCTCCGTGGTGCCTCAGTGGGAAAGTGGGGGGGCTCCAGGAGTTGCTGCCCTCCACGTGCCATCCCTGGGGGATGTCACCCTCCTGGTGGCAGAGCCAGGGCTGTGCCCCAACCTAGTGACACTCGCTTGGTGCCAGCGTTCCTCCCTCCAGAGACGAAGCCACCACCTCCTGGAACCATGGCCTTTACTGCTGGGGGACAGAGCAGGGGACAAGGTGGGGGGCTCTGAGGGACCTTCTCAGCGCTTCTTGGTCTTCACGAGCCCTTTGGCCACCAGGCAGCGGTACAGCTCCTGCACGTAGGTGTACACGCACTTGGCGTCGGGCACCGGCAGCCGCACCATGTCCTCCACCTCCAGCAGGGGGGCACAGCCCGCCCGCTCCCTGCGGGAAGGGACACAGCGGTCACCGGGGCCGGGGGTGGCCGGGGGCACCGAGGGGCCGGGGCTGTGCTCACGCACTCGGCGGTGGCGAAGGCCAAGGCGAAGTTGTCCCGGCGGGCGTCGGGCTCCAGGGCGGTGAAGTCGAAGGCGTCGGGGAAGAAGCTGTGCAGGAGCGCGCAGAAGGCCAGGCCGCTGCCCCAGCTCCCCGAGAAATTCTGCACGTCCACGTGCTGCGCAGACAGGGGGGTTCAGGCCACCCCCGGACCCCCCATCGGACCCTCCCGCCGCCCCCCAGTCGCACTCACCGGGTACCCACGGGTGCGGGCGCGGCACCACTCCAGCAGCATCGTCTTGACCGTGGCGGCCCCCCCCTGAGCGCCGCAGGTGTGGGGCTGGGCCCTTGGCAGCCCTAGGGGGACCTGGGCTGTGGGATCCCCACACCCCACCGTCCCTCATAGGGACCCCAGCCCTTCTGTGACCCCATTACCCCGTGGCTTTGGACCCCCGATGCCCCACTTGCCCCATGGTCACACAGCCTCCCCCGTCCCATCCTCCCACACTGCTCCATGGACCCCTCCATTCCTCCCTGTACCCCTCATTGCCCCATGCCCCCTGATATCCCGTGTCCCATACCCTCCCTCATTGCCCCATGTTCGCCCTGTACCACCATTGCCCCTCAGACCCCCAGTTCCCCTATGACCCCATTGCCCTGTGCCCCCAATACTGCCACTCTCCCATGCCCCTGCCATGCCCCACAATTTCCCTGTCCCTCCCATTGCCTCATGACTTTCCAACACCCCCACTGCTCCATGACCCATCCATCTCACTGTCCCTGGCTGTCCTATACCCCCCACAAAACCCCAGGTCCCCCATTCCCTCAATGCCTCTCCTGCCCCCCACAGGGCCAGGCCCTCCTCACCCTCCAAACTTCTCCAGGATGGCGCTGCGCCCCTGTGCCCGGGTCCCCACTCGTGGCCGTCCCCCGGCCCCCTCCAGCCTCAGCCTCTGTCCCGCTGACCCGGGGGCTGCCTTGTCCCGCGTCCCCCCCGCTGGAGCACCCCTGCAGACACACACGGGTGGGACAGCCATGAGCAGGGGGCTGTGGGGGGCCATCCCCGCCGTGGGGTACTGGGGTGCCACCCGTGGGGACACACCTCTTGCTGACCCCCGTGTCCTCGGCAGTGCCAGCTGCAAGGAGAGAGGAGGGGTCAGAGGGTGGAAGAGGGCACCCACACCCTCCTGGCACCTCTGGGGCTCAAGGTCCTCTCCCAAGGGGAGGATGGACACTGTGGGGCAGCAGTGACCCCAGGACACTTGGGTGCATCGCCCAAACGGCTCTTACCTGTGGGGGATGCTGGGGACATAGGGGATGTGGGAGATATAGGGGACATGGGGGACGTGGGGGATGTGGGGGATGTGGGGCTGGCGGCCCCCTCTGGGGATGAGCAGGGAGGGAACTCAGGCCACAGCTCATCGTCCTCGTCCTGAAGCCAAGTGGGTTCCTGTAAGCAACAGGCAGGGTGGCAGTGCCAGCACGGTCAGTGTCACTCACACAATGTCCCTGGCACAGTCATCCTGGCCCTGGCACTCTCACCCTGCCCCAGTAAAGTCAGCTCTGTCCCCATCTGTACCGCAGCTGCCCTCCCTACCACCTCCTGCCCTGGTTGTGCCGCCACCTCCCTTCCAACCCCTCCTCACCTTTTGACGCCGGCTGTTGCCGGTTGCTGCCGGCGCCGCTTTTTCCTCGGTACCCGCTCCGGTGCCCCCGGCTGTCCCTGCCTCGGCATCGCCACCACCATCCCCGGCCTCTCCGGCATCGCCCCCGGCACCCCTGGGTGCTTCTGCCCCTCCATCCCCGGCAGCCTCTCCCCCCGCGCACCCCCCTGAGCCCCCCGTATCCTCCCCTTCACCCCCCGTGTTCTTCCCTTCACCCCCCGTGTCCCCCGCATCGCCCCCCGCTTCCCGAGCTTCCTCCCCACCCCGGGGAGCCGTCGCCTCCCCGCTGCTCTCCCCCGGCCCCGCGGCGGGGTCAGAGGGGGTGTCCGGAGTGGGGCTACCGCAGGTGGGGGTGCCGAGGGTGGGGGTGCTCGTGGTGGGGGTGCCGGGGGTGGGGGTGCTCGCGGTGGGGGTGTCCAAGGTGGGAGTGCCGGGGGTGGGAGTGTCCGAGGTGGGGGTGTCCGAGGTGGGGGTTTCAGCGTCTCCCAGAGCCTCCATGTTGCTGCGGTCACTGCTGCAGGGGCACAGGGCTGTCGCTGGGGTGCCCTTCGATGACGCCATGAGCTTGCCCGTGTCCCTCATAGCCCCCCAGTCCGGCTAACCCCCCTCCTGCCCCTGTCCCCACGCCCTCCTCCAGCCCCAGCACTCCCACGTTGGGCACCCCAGTTACCCCACCCCGACTCCCCCATGCCCCGTCCCGGCACCGCCACAGCACAGCCCGGTCCCTTCACGTCTTCCTGCAGCCCCCCACGCCCCAAACCAACCCCTCCCACTGCCCTCATGCCCCGTGTCAGCACCCCCGTTCTCCCTCCTGCCACCGTGTCCCATCTCGATCACCCATATCCCATCCCGGCACCGGCACGTCCCTCTCCCGGCCCCTCGTGTCTTCTCCGTGCCCTCCGCTTCCCACTGCCGGCCCCCTATAACCCCTTCCCGGTCTTCCTTGCTGCCCGCCGATCTCCTGCCCGGTGCCCCCCAGCCCGCAGGCTCCCGGCCGCTCCCGTTCCACCCCCGTTTCTCCCGGAGCCCCCCGGAGCCCCTCGGCCCGTACCCTCCGGCTGCTGCCGCTCCGCCGCCCCTGCTGCGCCCCAGCCCCCCCGCCCGGCGCTATTTTTACCCGGCGGGGGCAGGTGCCGCCTTCACTCACCGCCCACCCGCGGGGCACGCGTGGGGCCGGGCCGGACACCCGGCCATGGCTGGGGCGGGGGGACAGTCCCACAGCCCCACCCGGACAGCGGCGACACCCCAAAGCAGCCACCGAGTGGGGACCGAGCCGTGTCACCCGAGGGGCACAGAGGACACGGACACCCTGGGCAGGGACAGGGAGACTTGGGGGTCACAGGCAGACGGACGAGGTGGGGAACACAGACACGCGGGGGACACGCGGGGGACACGGGCACACGCGGGACATGGGGAGCGCGGGGGGAACAGATTCCCGAGGGGCAATGGGGGACACAGACATGTGGGGACACAGGTGACACGGGGACAGCCCGGGCAGGACGGCGGGACACAGGAGGACCCAGGGACACGAGGAACAGGGGACACAGGGGAGGGACCCGAAGCCCCCCGGCCACGCCCGGGTGGGGTCCCGGCGGTGGCCACGCCCCCTCCCACACGGCCACGCCCCCTTCTCGTGGCCACGCCCCCTGCGGGGCAAAGGCCGGGCAGAGCGCGCGCTCCGCCGCTCCCTCCCGCCGCTCGGCCGCCGCTTCCACGCCCCTTCCGAGGGACCAATCAGCGACAGAGGCGCACCCCTGGTCCCGCCTCCGCCTGCACTCGATTGGTCGGTGTCGGCGCTGGGGCGGGGCTACCGCGCCGGTGGGCGGAAGCGCGGCGCCCACGTGGTTCCTGCAGGGAGCCGCCGCCGGGTCCCGAACCGAGCGGGGCCGAGCCGGTCCAACGGGGCGGGTCCGAGCGGGGTCGGGCCCAGAGGGACCGCGATCGGGGCTGAATCCGAACGGGCCCGGTGCTGGCCGCCATGGATCCGCTGCGGGCTCAGCAGCTGGCGGCCGAACTGGAGGTTGAGATGATGGCCGACATGTATAATCGGTGAGGCCCGCCGGGAGGGAGCATTGGGGACGTTGGGGTACCGTGGCTTGGGGGACACTAGCGCGTGTCAGAGGCAGTGGGGGACCCCGGGGTGCTGGGGTTGTAGGGGAGTGTGGGGGTCCTAGGGGACACCAGGGAAATGGGGAAGGAAACCGGAGATGCCTGAGGATGTGGGACGGCGGGGGGTCCTAGGGGTGCCCGGGTGGCGATGATGGAGGATACTGGGCTTGTTGGGGTGCAGAGGCCGGGGTCCCGGTCGGTGAGGATGCGGGTACAGGAGATGTTGGGGTGCAAGGGCTGGGGATGCCGGGGATGGCGATAACGGGAGGTACGGGGGGTGCTGAGGTGCGGGGCTGGGTCCCGGGGGTGGTGATGGCAGGGTACAGGAGATGTTGGGGTGCGGGGTCGGGGTCCTGGGGGTGGCAGTTGCGGTGTTCAGGGTGTGCTGGGGTGCGGGGCCGGGTCCCGGCTGGCGCGGGGCTCAGGCGCGGTGCGGTCCGTGCAGGATGACCCAGGCGTGCCACCGCAAGTGCGTCCCCCCGCACTACAAGGAGTCGGAGCTGTCCAAAGGGGAATGCGTGTGCCTGGACCGCTGCGTGGCCAAGTACCTGGAGGTGCACGAGCGGATGGGGAAGAAGCTGACGGAGCTGTCGCTGCAGGACGAGGAGCTGCTCAAGCGAATGCAGCAGGGCAGCGGCACTGCCTGAGCCCCCACCCATCACCCCAATAAACCTGGGGCGTCTGCTGTGCTCCCCTCACCCCCCAAACCCACCCTGTGGCCATGTGTTGGGGTACGTGCTGCCCGTGATTGCTGCTGGGAGCCCCCCTTGTTGTCCCCAGTTGCCA